GGGGGGGGGGGGGGCAAATGTGCAAAACACCCTCGTTTCTTCTTTTTTTATTCTTTTTTTTATTATTATTATTTTTTTACAGCACCCTTGCTTTTGGATACGCACCACATTGTCATTGCGAAGTTTAAATATTTATTATCAGCTCCCATCAATTTCCGCTTTTTTTTTTCTTTTATCATTATTGCACATTTTGACAAACGAAACAAATTTCCTTTTCTTTTCTACACGTATTTCTTGAGCCTTTAATAACGTTGCTTAAATACCCATTTCACAGGCACAAAAGCTGGCACTTCCCTCAGTTTCAAAGGCCTTTTGTATAAGTTCCTTCAGTCTTCATTACAAAATTTATGATACCATTACCAGTTACAAAACCCACCAAAGTGAACACCAAAACTTCCTCAAACCAAACCAAATCTTGTCGTATTTCCAAACATGACCATTAAGCTTCACATAGCCATGTACCCCTGGTTCGCCATGGGCCATCTCACCTCCTTCCTCCACATCTCCAACAAGCTGGCCGAGAGAGGCCACAGAATCTCCTTCTTCATCCCCACCGAGACGCAGCCCAAATTGTCGTCGTTCAATCTCCATCCTCATCTCATCTCCTTCCTCCCCATCGACGTCCCTCACGTCCCCGGCCTCCCTCCCACCGCTGAAACCACAAACGACATCCCCTACGCTCTCTTCTCCCTCCTCATGACCGCCATGGACCTCACAAGACCCGCCATTGAAGCCTCCCTCGTACAACTCAAACCCCATTTCGTCTTCTTCGATTTCACCCACTGGTTGCCGCAATCCGCCCGTCGGATCGGGAATATCAAGACCCTTCTTTACTGCACGATCAGCCCGGCGGCTGTCGGGTATTTGATAAGCCCGGAAAGGGAATTGAATGAGAAAAGCTTGAAAGAATCCGATTTGTTGGTTCCTCCGAAGAGCTTTCCTTCTTTGTCTTGTATTAGGCTAAGCGCTCACGAGGCGCGCGGGCTTGTAAAGGAGACGGTGAAGGAGCTTGGCGCCGGGATATCGTTCCTCGAACGACAGTTGATCGCGTTAAACGACAGTGACGCAATCGGGTTCAAGACTTCGAGAGAAATGGAAGGAGTTTACTGTGATTACATAGAAAGACAGTTTGGAAAGAAAGTGATTCTTGCGGGGCCAGTTGTTCCGGAACCTCCAAATTCAGCCTTGGAAGAAAAATGGGCTAATTTTCTTGGTAACTTCGGATGCAAGAAAGTGATATTCTGTGCGTTTGGAAGCGAATGCGTTTTGGAAAACGATCAGTTTCAAGAACTAATTATTGGTCTTGAGCTCACGGGACTGCCTTTTCTTGTAGCGCTAAAACCGCCAAAAGGGTACGAAAAAATCGAGTGCGCTTTGCCTGAAGGGTTTGAAGAAAGGGTGAAAGAGAGAGGAATTGTCCACGGAGGTTGGGTTCAGCAACAGCTGATTTTGCGGCATTCTTCGGTAGGGTGTTTCGTGACGCATTGCGGTTCGGGGTCGTTGTTGGAAGGGTTGATGAATGAGTGCCAGTTGGTTCTGGTTCCGAATGTTGGAGACCAGATCATAAATGCAAGGATGATGAGTGGAGATCTTAGAGTTGGAGTTGAGGTCAAGAGAGGGAATGAGAGTGGGGCGTTTACAAGAGAAGGTGTTTGTAAGGCTGTGAAAGATGTCATGGATGATGAGAGTGAGGTTGGAAAGGAGGTGAGGACGAATCATGATAAATGGAGGGAGTTTTTGTTGAGCAAAGGGCTTGAGGATTCTTATATTGATTGTTTTGTTGAGGAATTACTTGCAATGATAAGCTCATCATGATCATGATCATCCATAATTCATGAACTCCTGTTGTTTTGTCTTGATTTTGTTATGTTTGCAGTTCTTTGTTATGATATTAAGATCTACTTCTGCAGAAAGTTGTAAGCTAGTAATTGGCAGCAATTTCCCCTTTTGTACCCACTTTTAGTTTCCTATTGTTTTTAGGAATTTGAAAAGCTACTAGGAAGATTAGGCCGCGCATATAACCTCCTCTGTTGCTTGGTGTTCTTGCAATTTTTTTGTGATGTTAAAATTCTGTGTTACGGATCTTTAGGATTTCCCAGTTTAATAATTTTAGATTGAGAAAGTATTTTTCTTGTTAAATTAGATTGAGATTGGACGCGTACGTGTTTAAGATATCATATTAAAGAAAGTATGATAATTCATAAAAGCTTAATAAAACTTTAGGTTACCAAGTCTCGTATTTCCTCATATAATGTGTGAAGCTACATGAATCTTAAATTATTATGCCATAATCTTCTGGTAGTAAAAGGATTAAATTCTTTATTATATTTATTCTAATCCATGTTTCTTTCTCTCAATCAGAGTTCAAGCAAAAAAAACAAAAAACAAAAACAAAAGATAAAAAAGCAATTAAACCTTTACAGGTTCTGTGCTTGTCTATTTCAGTTCACTTAGAGACGATGAGAAAAAGTCGTAATAGTTATCTTTTTATTTTTCCAACACCAAAGAAAGAAAAAAATTTCTATTATTATTATTATACGAAATATAGAAATCAAACTGCAATACAATGATCAATTATGATCAAACGCGGTATTATCTATACAACAAAAGTTGGTAAACAGCATTCTTGATGTCTTTAAGACGATAAAAGTGTTGGTTAGTGTCTCTGTAGTACTTCGCTGCTGCAGAAACACCCTCGTCGCCACTATCAGTAACCCTTAGTTCTCGTCTGACTACTGAACTATTATTAAACTTATACGAAAAATACAAATAAACCTGCTTGCTTGAATTCTTGTCGTTTAGGTCAACCCCATAAACGGCGTGGCTAGAGCGACTGGCCCTGTCATCTTCGGCGCTTTCAAAGAGCTCAAACACGGGAACGATGAGGGGTTCACCAACGTCTTTGTCGGCGCAAAGATGTCGCCTCCTACGGAGCTGAATCACGAGCATCGAACAGTCGTCATGGAAGTTGGAAGCCTCGGCGTTGAACCTCAGAGGAGAGTTTTTCCACGCGTGAGTCTTGTTGCCGAGAGGGTTGGCCAGTTGGGTTTCCTTGGAGGTGATGGAGGCTGGGGTCGTGACCGAAACGACGGCGTAAAACCTCGTCTTGAAGAGCGAGTAAAGGCTTGGTTTGGAACTTGGGCCTTCCAAACATGTCACGTCCACGTCCAAGAAGTGGTAATGATTCATGATGGTTTAATGGTGAATATTAAACCTTTTGGCTTAAACAGACTTATGAAAGGTTGATGATGATGATGACGAATGATGATGAGAGTGAAGTGATTTTAGGAGAGTAGTAGAATGAGCAAGTGGAGAGAAAATAAGAGAATAATGTTGGTTTAAATAGAATGGAAACAAGGAGGTTTAAGAGGCCCTACTCCGATTAGAATTTTACTTTTCGAGTTTTAAGAGGAGACTGTTGGTGGAGTAGAAGTGTACTAGAATTCGGCAATTCCGAATGTTAATCATTAATATTTAATTATTTTGAAGATTAGAGGTGTTATTAAGATTTGGAGTTGAAGTTGAAGGGAATGAAAGGGGGTTAAGTTCGATTGCAACATTGAGATTTTTATAAGTCCTACTTTGATTACAATTTAATTGTAGAATTTCAGGGGAAGAGTGGAACTGTGTTTTCGAAGTGTATTAGAATTTGAAAATACTTCGGGAAAATTGCAGCAGTTATTATTAAAATGCACAATGCTTATAGTATTAGATTTTGTATCAATTTTTTTAAGGTTGTATTTTATTATTTGTATTTTGAATACCAAGTTATGTGAGAGTTACTTTCTTACAATATAATAGACACATGATCTTGTTATTTAAGTTAGGAAAAAATGATATTGCTTTTAGGCTAAATTACGCATAAATTAGGTTCTAAAAAGACCATTTTTCCCAAATAGCAAGAAGTATTACTAAGGATGAATTTATGTTCCAAACACCGTAAATATCAGGAAAAAATCACAAAATACAATTTCAAAGATGTAGGTGTGGATTTAATTTCCAGGAATTAAAAAATTTATAATTTAGACTCTTGAGCTTTCAATTTCTACGAATAAGATCCTAAATTTTAAAAATTTGCGGTTCGGGGTCGTTGTTGGAAGGGTTGATGAATGAGTGCCAGTTGGTTCTGGTTCCGAATGTTGGAGACCAGATCATAAATGCAAGGATGATGAGTGGAGATCTTAGAGTTGGGGTTGAGGTCAAGAGAGGGAATGAGAGTGGGGCGTTTACAAGAGAAGGTGTTTGTAAGGCTGTGAAAGATGCCATGGATGATGAGAGTGAGGTTGGAAAGGAGGTGAGGACGAATCATGATAAATGGAGGGAGTTTTTGTTGAGCAAAGGGCTTGAGGATTCTTATATTGATGGTTTTGTTGAGAAATTACTTGCAATGATAAGCTCGTCATGATCATGATCATCCATAATTCATGAACTCCAGTTGTTTTGTCTTGTTTTTGTTATGTTTGCAGTTCTTTGTTATGATATTAAGATCTACTTCTGCAGAAAGTTGTGAGCTAGTAATTGGCAGCAATTTCCCCTTTTGTACCCTCTTTTAGTTTCCTATTGTTTTTAGGATTTTGACAAGCTACTAGGAAGATTAGGCCGCGCATATAACCTCCTCTGTTGCTTGGTGTTCTTGCAATTTTTTTGTGATGTTAAAATTCTATGTTATGGATCTTTAGGATTTCCCAGTTTAATAATTTTAGATTGAGAAAGTATTTTTCTTGTTAAATTAGCTTGATATTGGACGCGTACGTGTGTAAGATATCATATTAAAGAAAGTATGATAATTCATAAAAGCTTAATAAAAATTTATGTTATCAAATCTCGTATCCCCTCGTATAATGTGTGAAGCCACATTAATCCTAAATTATTATGCCATAATCTTCTGGTAGTAAAAGGATTAAATTCTTTATTATATTCATTCTAATCCATGTTTCTTTCTCTCAATCAGATCATCAAGCAAAAATAAAAGGATAAAAAAGAAAAGCAATTAAAGCTTTACTGGTTCTGTGCTTGTCTATTTCAGTTCACTTAGAGATGATAAGAAAAAGTCGGGATAGTTCTCTTTTTATTTGTCCAACACCAAAGAAAGAAAAAAATTATGCTAGACATTACAAGTGGATTAATTTGTTTACCAGATTAAATATCAAGTAAAAAGTTATGCAACAATAATTGTTCTATTATTATTATTATGCGAAATATATAAATCAAACTGCAATACAATGATCAATTTTGATCAAACGCGGTATTATCTATACAACAAAAGTTGGTAAACAGCATTCTTGATGTCTTTAAGACGATAAAAGTGCTGGTTAGTGTCTCTGTAGTACTTCGCTGCTGCAGAAACACCCTCGTCGCCACTACCAGTAACCCTTAGTTCTCGTCTGACTACCGAACTGTTATTAAACTTATACGAAAAATACAAATAAACCTGCTTGCTTGAATTCTTGTCGTTTAGGTCAACCCCATAAACGGCGTGGCTAGAGCGACTGGCCCTGTCGTCTTCGGCGCTTTCAAAGAGCTCAAACACGGGAACGATGAGGGGTTCACCAACGTCTTTGTCGGCGCAAAGATGTCGCCTCCTACGGAGCTGAATCACGAGCATCGAACAGTCGTCATGGAAGTTGGAAGCCTCGGCGTTGAACCTCAGAGGAGAGTTTTTCCACGCGTGTGTCTTGTTGCCGAGAGGGTTGGCCAGTTGGGTTTCCTTGGAGGTGATGGAGGCTAGGGTCGTGACCGAAACGACGGCGTAAAACCTCGTCTTGAAGAGCGAGTAAAGGCTTGGTTTGGAACTTAGGCCTTCCAAACATGTCACGTCCACGTCCAAGAAGTGGTAGTGATTCATGATGGTTTAATGGTGAATATTAAACCTTTTGGCTTAAACAGACTTATGAAAGGTTGATGATGATGATGAGAGTGAAGTGATTTTAGGAGAGTAGTAGAATGAGCAAGTGGAGAGAAAATAAGAGAATAATGTTGGTTTAAATAGAATGGAAACAAGGAGGTTTAAGAAGCTCTACTCCGATTAGAATTTTACTTTCGAGTTTTAAGAGGAGACTGTTGGTGGAGTAGAAGTGTACTAGAATTCGGCAATTCCAAATATTAATCATTAATATTTAATTATTTTGAAGATTAGAGGTGTTATTAACATTTGGAAACAAGGAGGTTTAAGAGGCCCTACTCCGAATAGAATTTTACTTTTTGAGTTTTAAGAGGAGACTGTTGGTGGAGTAGAAGTGTACTAGAATTCGGCAATTCTGAATGCTAATCATTAATATTTAATTATTTTGAAGATTAGAGGTGTTATTAAGATTTGGAGTTGAAGTTGAAGGGAATGAAAGGGGGTTAAGTTCGAATGCAACATTGAGATTTTTATAAGTCCTACTTTGATTACAATTTAATTGTAGAATTTCAGGGGAAGAGTGGAACTGTTTTTTCGAAGTGTATTAGAATTTGAAAATACTTCGGGACAATTGCTTAGAGTACTAGATTTTGTATCAATTTTTTTAATGTTGTATTTTATTATTTGTATTTTGAATACCAAGTTATGTGAGAGTTACTTTCTTACAATATAATAGACATATGATCTTGTGATTTAAGTTAGGAAAAAATGATATTGCTTTTAGTTTAAATTACGCATAAATTAGGTTCTAAAAAGACCGTTTTTCCCAAATAGCAAGAAGCATTACTAAGGGTGAATTTATGTTCCAAACACCGTAAATATCAGGAAAAAAAAGTCACAAAATACAATTTCAAAGATGTATGTGTGGATTTAATTTCCAGGAATTAAAAAATTCTATAAAAAGGTATTGTGTTTGGTGTGTTTTGAATTATAAATATTTGATAATTAGACTCTTGAGCTTTCAATTTCTACGAATAAGATCCTACATTTTAAATTTGTAAGCTAATTGGCGTCAATTAAGGAATAGAAATTGCCATGATTCTTGTAAAATGCATCCAATTTTTATTTTTTCTTTCGAGTAAGCATCCAAATTTTTTTTGATTGGCAAGTTGGATCTTAAAAATTTTAAAATTTTTGGAATTTCGGGCTCTTATTGCTGTCCTTTAATTGATGCTTGGACTGTATTGTAAAAATTATAATTTAAGATGCGACATATAAATGACGATAAATTCCGATGTATAATTGCTTTCAACGTAGCTCAAAAAAGAGAAAAAAAATATCTATTTCATTTTATCGATTTAAATTTAAAATTTAAATTTTATTATAATAAAAAATCCGGTGACAGATTTGCTAGATGGGAGCTTATAGTGATTCGATTAAGGGCAAAATCGTCAATACGAGTGGGCCAGTGAAGCATCTGGTTTATGGGGTTGCGTGGGATATTTTGTTATTATTATAAAGGTTTGCTACTTTGTTTCCTATCCTAAACCTAAAAGGAGCAGAGAAACTTGTCTAAGAGTACATAGAGAGCTTCTGAATCCGATCGGCTTTTCTTTCTCATTCTGCGGAGGAGCCATGGGGAGAGGAAAGTTCAAGAGCAAGCCCACCGGTCACCGCAACTTTTCCACTCCCGAAGAGCTCCGTAAGCCTCTCAATTTTCCTTTTCTTCTTAACCTTTTCGCGAAATTCTTAGCTGATCATTTTATTTTAAGCAGTAGAATCAAATATACTTTCTTCGATTTCCTTTTTTTTCTTTAACTTAAAGTTTTTCTGCTTTCTCGATCAGCTACCAAAAATTCGTTGTTCTTTTTTTTTTTTTTTTTTTTTTTTTTTAGGAGGGGATGTT